TCTATCTATCTATCTATCTATCTATCTATCTATCTATCTATCTATCTGTGGTTTATTATTAAGGATAGTCAGGGCTGAGCACGGTGGTGCACACATTTAATCCCAGCAATCAGAGGGCGGAGGGCGGAGGCCAGAGGCCGGAGGCAGACAGAGGCAGGCAGATCTCTCTGAGTTTGAGAGCAGCCTGGTCTACAAAGCAAGTTCCAGGACAGCCAGGGCTACACAGAGAAACCCTGTCTCAGGAATAAAAAAGATGGAGAATGTTTTGGGACAATCATCCTGAGGTGACGTCAGCCCCAATTATAACTGGGCTATGATGCAGCTCGAAATTAAGCATCTTCAGCCAGCAAGACCTGACGACTGCCACAGGCAGCTGAGCGCCTCTCATTAGGGACTTGGGGGTGTGTGCTAAAGATTGCTGTCATTTCTAGCATCTGCCTTGACGGCTCCCTTACACTTGGTTGAGTACACTAGGGATTTAAAGAAGGCACATCAGTTCCTTTCGCCCACTGTGGTCCCTGCTAAAATTCAGCAATTATTCAAGGAAACTGATGAGAAGAAATTGACATGCAGTCTGTCACTGCATCTTAACAACTTGCTTAGGTGGCATGGGGTTGATGCCCACTTTACAGATCAAGAAACTGAGGCTGGGCTGGGGAGATGGCTCCTGTGAGGACCTGAGTTTGATTCCTCAGAATCTTTGTAAAAGGCTGGGAGTGACAGGCACATCTGCAATCCCAGTGCAGTTTATGTTGAATTGAGAAGTAGAATTGTAGAATTCTTGGATGAAACCCTGGGCATCTGGCCTGGTGTAGGAAGCCTTGAATAAAAAGAGATCCTGCCTCAAACATGGTGAAAGGTGAGGACTAGTACCCAAGACTGTCCCCTGCTTCCACATACACGCACGCACACACACACACACACTCACTCACACTCACACATGCACCCGCTAGAGTGCAATCACAGTTTCATTTTGTTTAGAAGTGCCAGGGATCAAACACAGGACCCTGTGCACTGTAGCTGAGTGCTCTGCCACTGAGCCACATCCCTAATTGTTTTATTTAAGACCTAGGCTCTCTCACTCCAGTTGGTGAAATTCAGGAAGGAAGTTGTTTCCATGGAATCCTGCTTTCCTCTCACTTCAGAGCATTTGCAGCCAGGGCAATGGTGCTCCACACCCACTGCATTGTCAGGAGTGCTCCTGGGAGTATCTTCCCTGGGGTGGGGGGAGCATAGGGTGAGGCAGGCCCCATGGCTTTAAGAGCTAAGAGGATCCCGCAACTTGTCTTCAGAAACACCTTCCAAAGCCACTTTGACACCTTTGTGAAGCCCTGAAGACAGCTGTGAGTAGTATCAGTTTGAAACTGAACACCCACCCAATTCCACATTCAGGTGGCAGTAAGCAATTCCCCAAAGTGTGAAAACACTTCAAGGGAAGGTGAGACAGGAGCTGTGATTTTATTTCTAGGGATGATTGGAAATCACAGAACACCTTCCAAAAGGATCACATTTATGCAAATGGACCACTTTACCTGGGTGGGAAAGATGTAAACCACTCTCCACAAGGAGAAAATGGAAAAAAAAAATCCTTCCCAAGGGCAGAGTCCTAAATTCTTTACTGATCTCTTGCCAAGATCTGAAGAATTCCAAAGTCAACTAGGTCTAGAATGTGGTCTGTCTTGCAGATTCTTTGCTGGTTACATTCAAAAGCATGTGGGAGCGTGTCCTTGGCCAGATGGAATGGGTGGGAGGGAAAACACTCTCCTGCTTTTTTTTTAATTGTTTCTTTTAAATTGTGTGTGTGTGCGTGTGTGTGTGTGTGTGTGTGTGTGAGCATGGGCAGCACATCAGTGCAGGTGCTCACAGGGGTCAGAAGAGGGCATCTGATCCTTTGGAGCTAGAGTTATAAGCCACTGTGAGCCTCCTAAAGCCTGCGAACTGAATTCAGCTCTTCTGCAAGTGCTCTTGGCTGTGGCACATCTTGCCAGTCTCCTTCCCACCCTCCAACAAAACTAATTAGTCCATTTTGAAGTAAGACTTGCTATGTTTTGTTTTACCCGCCATAGCTAATTTTACTCGCAGGGACTCTCCTTGCCCCCTACTGTCTCAGGATCCAGTGGTAAGAAGGAATGCAAGAGCCTCACAAGCAATGCTCTGTCTGCTCCCAGGCAATGTTCTAGTCATTATTTCTAAAATACAGGCCCCTCCTCCATAGCTCCTGTTTCGATACAAGTCCTCAGTGAGTGGCAGCAGTTATTTTTATTTAAACACTCCTAATAGCAAAGAGCCGAAGTGAAAAGATTGAGGCGCCAGGAAGTTTCCAACCCTTGGGAAGAAATCTTCAACTCCCAAGGGACATCAGTTGGCAAAGGGGTAAAACCAGGTAGCCTCATCTCCCAGAGGGGTCATCTACAAATGACTGATCCATCAACCTCATGAGCCATCGTGTGCTGCACCTCCCAACAAGAGGGCACCTTGTTCCCCAGTAGGGATTTCTGTTTGTTATTGTGATAGCCAGTGTTGATGGCACAGAGATTTCCAGTTGGCTTGTTGATGGTCTCTCTGTACCAGAGAAGTCCCTCAGAGGAAACTGTCACGTGACTCAGTTTACTGAGCAACCTGTCACTCGCTGTTCCCTTTATCATTGTCAACTACCCAAAGGACCATTGGCCTCGATGAGGAAGACCTCTTGTTCATGCATAATCAAGGAAGCCACTTTAGAAGCTACCCTCTATGTTACAAGATGACCAGCTCACAACACAATATTTGACCTTCCCTGTACCAAATATTCTTTGTTTTAAATTGCATCTCACTATGATGCCCAGGCAGCCTTCAAATTCCGGCTCTCAAGGGATCCTCTTCCTCAGCCTCCTGAATGGCCACCTGGGTCTGCAGGGGTTCTACACTATGCTATGCCCAAGTACCCCACTGGTTACTGAGTCTCACTCTAGGGGAGTGTTGTATCAATAAATGAATAAGAAATGTCAGTCAGTGACGGAACTGTGAAGGTATGGAAGGAAGAGAGGCTGAACTAGCTGTGGAGTTGGTCTTGCTTCTCTGAGTCCTTTCTGGAGTCCTTGCTCTTGGGCCTCCTTCCCAGCTCCCTTCCTGTAGGCAACACTTGTCTCTTTGACTGCTTCCAGTAACCAAACCCAAGACTTCGTGTTGGGGAGGGGCCTTGGACAGGAAGAGGAGGAGGAGGAGGAGGAGGAGGAGGAGGAGGAGGAGGAGGAGGAAGAGGAGGAGGAAGAGGCAGCAAGGGCTTTTGAGAGAAGCCAGGGTTCACCAGCCTTCCCTGGCTTATTGTGGTGGACCACTGCAGTCAAACAGTGCGAGAGGCAGGTAGGAAGATGGAAAACTGGAGACATGAGAAGAGAGCAGGCTCGTCCTGGACCGCAGCTGACCTTTCTCTCCAGCGGGGATGCAAGAGTTCAGGTGTAGTTAGCTCCTGCTTAAGGCCTTTGCCCTGTCCCAGGTGCAAACGTGTGCTTTCCTAGAACTCTCACTAGAAGCCCCGTTTACAGGGTCAGGCAAGTACTAACCCTCTTGTGTAGCCCTGTCAGGTTATAATTCCACCTCTGCCGGTCTCCAGACCTACCTCACTTATCAAAAGATAGAGAGAAGGAAATATATGTTTCTTAGCAACCCTTTGAGATATAACCCAAGAGTCTCCAAAATGGCATATAGAATTATTAATAAGACAAGGACTTCTGTCCTTTGAGGAGCCTGTTGCCCACACGTGGGTGTGTGTATTTCTCTGCAATTCTCACTTGAGGAGCCCATGTGCCCTCGGGCAGGCCTTGTATTTCCTTCTGAATTTTCTTTCTTCTACCTTTCAAGTTTACGTCTATGTTTAAAGTGGCTCGATCTAAAATTCTTTTCTGCTTCGAAGCTACCAGTCTCAGTTTGGCCCATCCTAGAAGATGAGGGGGACTCCTCAGGCTGCCAAGGGTGGCAGTATGGAGCTGTTTTGGTCTCCTTCCTACTTTCTAAAACCCCAGAATTGTGCTTCCCTTTCAGAAAGCCTTTATGTATATAAATGTCACAGCTCTCCTTGAATGGAGCCAGTCCGGGGCTGTCGCATCACTGGAAACCAATCCATGTGAGAAATTAGATCCCAAGGCAGTGGGGCTTGGTAGCTGTGACCCGGGCAATACTCATAGTTCACTCTCTCATCCATACGTTTTTCTCTGTGTTGCAGGGGCATTCAGGCCTTCGAGTCACATTTCCCACAATCCCCCTGCTAACCGGTTCCATTTGAGTCTTGCTAATAGGAAGCATTCATGGGGAAAAGTTCGTATCAGGGAATTTTGTTTTTACCCAATCCCCACCCTGGTTTTGGGTACAGCAGTAAAAGCTACAAGTGATCAAAGATGGAGTGGGGCCAAATGCTACCTGCTGAGAGCTCAGAGAGGCACAGCCTCCAGTGTGGCAGATCTGGCAGGGCTAGGGACAACATCCAGAGGCCAGCATGCTTGGACATCACCTCTTTATTTGACTTGTATTCCACATCTGCTCCTTGATCACTTTTAGAAACCCTTTGGAAGTTAGACACCATT